TCACTGGTTTTGTGAAAGATAAACTTTCTATGGGGCTGTGGGGAGTGGGTTTCAGTATGGAACTGTTTTACGTCAGATCATCAGGCACTGGATTCTCATAAGGAACATGCAACCTAGTTCCCTCACATGTGCAGTTCATGATAGGGTTCCTGCTCCTAGATAATGTAATGCCCCTGCTAATCTGACAGGGGGTAGAGCCCAAGCAGTTATGCTTGCTCACCTCCTGCTATGCAGCTGCTTCCTAACAGGCCACGGACCAGTAGCAGCCTCAGCATGGGGACTGCGGACTCCTGCCCTATTAACGGAAAAGATGGACAAAAATGTTCATTACTCATAGAAGCCCAAAACTGGAAATAACCCAAATATCCATCAATACTGAAGGGATAAATTGTGAAAGTCATCCACAATGGTATATAGCTACATAGCACATAGTGATGATTCTCCAACATAATGTTGAGAGAAAAAAAGGAAAATAAAATAGAGTAAAATTATACATGCAGAGTTTAAACACAAGCAAAATTAGGTCTTTTAGGAATGCATATAAAGAAGTAAAATAGTAAAGAGAAAGCAAGGAAATGAAGTCAGGTTGATAGTTACAAAAATGAGAAGGTAGAGCATTATGATCAGGATAGAGCACATGGAGAAGGGGGTCTTCTGGGCTGCTGAAAATGATCTACTTATTGGCTTTATTGATGGTTACATGAGTATATATTTATTCTGTTTTCTGAATATATTTCACAAGAGAAAGTATGCAAACATAATTAGGCTTTGTCATTAGACAGCAACACTAAAAACTACATTAATATCCATGGTGACTATCCATATCTAAAAAATATACATTTTCAAAATCTATTTTGTCCTTTACTATATTGTATTATATTGTTATATACAGAAAAAAGTGAGGAGAGACAGTAAATTTCTAATAGCTATTCTGAGACAAAAGGCAACCTCCAGGGCAGGGTTCACCAGCATTAACTTGTATCTGAAAGAAAAATAAAATGGTCTGAATGCAAGTAATTTATTAAATTGTGGGAAAATAAGGACTTTTTAAAAAAATTGGCTTAACTATTTTTGTTAAACTTACTATTACCTGACAGCACATTACATATGAGTAACATATATATATATTTAATTTTTTTGGTCTATCCCCTCCACAAAAGGGAAAATATGTAAACTCTATATAAACAGAAATAATGTGTCATTTACTGGCATATCCCTAGCATCCAAACCTATGCCTAGCACATAATAGGTGTTGAATAAACATTTGCTGAATTAACAAAGGGAACTAAGGACTGACTTATTAAGAGGGCACTTTGCTATTAGAAAGAGAGGTACTTGAATATCATGAACCTGCTCAAAAGTGAAAGAAAATTTCTTTTTTTTTTTTTTTTTTTGAGATGGAGTTTCACTCTTATTGCCCAGGCTGGAGTGCAATGGTGCATTCTCAGCTCACTGCAATCTCCACTTCCCAGGTGCAAGCAATTCTCCTGCTTCAGCCTCCCAAGTAGCTGGGACTACAGGCACCTGCCACCATGCCTGGCTAATTTTTTGTATTTTAGTAGAGACGGAATTTCACCGTGTTAGTCAGGATGGTCTCAATCTCTTGACCTTGTGAACCACCCACCTTGGCTTCCCAAAGTGCTGGGATTATAGGCGTGAGCCACTGCGCCGAGCCAAAAATTTTTTTAAAAGAAAAGAGAGGGCCAGGCGCGGTGACTCACGCCTATAATCCCAGCACTTTGGGAGGCCGAGGCGGGTGGATCACGAGGTCAAGAGATCTAGGCCATCCTAGTCAACAAGGTGAAACCCCATCGCTACTAAAAATACAAAAATTAGTTGGGCATGGTGGTGCGCACCTGTAGTCCCAGCTACTCGGGAGGCTGAGGCAGGAGAATTGCTTGAACCCAGGAGGCGGAGGTTGCGGTGAGCCGAGATTGTGCCATTGCACTCCAGTCTGGGTAACAACAGCGAAACTCCATCTCAAAAAAAAAGAAAGAAAAGAAGAGAGGTATTTGATTGCTCTCCACTGACAACTATGGTGTCTGGTTACATAGCTATTGCATTGCAAAATTGAATGCTCAATGCTCAATAAACAGACATAATCATATATCCATCTTTCCAGAATAACTACAAACCACAAAAACATGAAGTAAACAGCTCTGGTTTTAACAGTATCTGAAATGAAGTAAGGAACTGACATTTGGAGTATGCTACAGGTTGAGTCACTACAATGGAAAAATAAGAACTTTTACTGACTCACATCCAGAAGGTCCATTGTTATCATTGAATTAGAATCTCTGGGAGTTGGGATCTAGGTGCTCCTAATATGCAACCAGGTTTGAAAACAACTTTAAACTATAGTATCTGTGGTTCTAAACTAGTCTGATCCATTTTTAAGCTCAGCCACTGTACCATACTTAAGAAGGACATTGACTTGTAAGTGCTAGACCAAATATGCCCCCCCAGAATGATATCACAAGATTCTTAAGGAACTAATAATGCCTTCCGTGTATTTACACATTTATCAAGTTTCGTCCTTCCCCTTGAGACAATGTAGGAAAGGAATATTGCCTTTATCATGAATTTGAATTTGTACACTGAGGTAAATATAAATGTAGCAGGAGCGGCTGCGGGAAAGGATCTCTCGGACACGGAATATAGGAGGAAGGAATTTATTTTAGCTGGGAGCAAGGTGGCATAGGTGCCTAACAGCCAAGCTTATTTAACAAAGGGAGGTCTAGCCTTTATATAGGCTTATACTTTAGATGTTACACGTGGAAGAATCTTAGGTTCATAGTTTTAGGACTCACATGTGAAAAGGTTTTAGTTTATAGTTTCAGGAATTACCTACGGAAGTGTTCCGGTTTACAGTTTTAGGACTCACATGTGAAAAGGTTTCTGGTTTGATCTTGTTTTAAGTAAAAATCGTGCCTTCTGGAGAGTTTTCCCAAAGCCTAGCCTGTTGTTTTCAGGAAGGAGATTCAGGAGGCGCCGGCTGGCCTGCTCTTTTATTGAGATGCACAGTGGATGACGGGGGGGGGGGGGGGGGGGGGGGGGGGGGGGGGGGGGGACGGGGGGGGGGGGGGAGGGAATCCCAAATGCCTGGGTCTCCCTCCTCATAAAGACAGGATTTTGGACTGTCCTTATTAAGACAGGCACTTGAAAAGGAAGGAAGCTCAAGCTTCTTTAACTTAAGACTCTCCTTAGAGTAAATGCAGGTTTATTTGTGGGATGTCTAAGAAGTCTGTGTTAACCCAGATAGTGATGTCTGCAGTCTGATGAAGGGATCAGGTCTAGATTCAGGTTCACCAGTAAGAAAGCTGGTGTTAAAAGAAAGATAGAGACCTAGTCACCTCACTATTGGAGGAGAGAGGGTAACTGAACACATCCTTTAAGACCAAAAGGCCACCAAAATTCTCCTGACAAATAATGGGTGAAAACATATTCTGGTTTTGACTGCTTTTTTTTTTTTTCAGGGAAGTCTCAACTAATCTTAAATTTAGAGGAAACACGGCAAAGCCCAGTCTGCAGTAAGGAACAAAAACAGGAAGCACGACGCTCTCCTATCTCCCCTTTTTCCATCTGCCTAAGCTGTTAAACTCACAGCTACAATTTTCCAGCCCCTCTCACACCTTCAGCTCAGGTTTGGTCCTACTTGCCACCCTACCCCTACCTATCATATTGGCAAAGACAAATGAAGAAATCCTGAATATCTTTACAATGTATCTGTCACCACATAGTAGTTGAGAAACCATACTGGTCTGAGAGAGAAGATGAACAACACAGGAAAAACTGTATGATTTCAAATAATCACATTAAAGTCTCCATATCTCCTTTTCTCATTAGCAAAAATCTTCTCCTAAATGTTACCAATTTAAACCTCTAAAATAGCTGACAGCCATTTCCCAAATACTTGAGACTTCTCTGCTTTGAAACAGTCCACTTATTCTCTTTGGTTACGAATGATACATGTATTATATGAAAACAGGTACATCAAAAAGCCCCTGGGTCTAGTCCGGCCTCCAGGACTAACTGCCCAGATCAACCCAACCTGAGGAAGAGAATTTAGCAATATGCTTACTCACTGGAATCACTGCTATAGAGCAGGCACAAAGCTGACTTCCCTACAATACAGATAAAGACAACAGACTTGCTCAGTCACATGCAAATCATTGAACAAATAGGACTAAAACCCAAACTATTCAGCCAGTTTTTTGTAAAGTATAGTAATTTGTATTGAATACGATGTTCTTTTTTATTGAGACCCAGATTTGCTCTTGTGCCCAGGCTGAAGTGCAGTGGTGCGATCTCAGCTCACCGCAACCTCTGCCTCCATGGTTCAAGCAACTCTCCTGCCTCAGCCTCCTGAGTAGCTGGGATTACAGGTGACTGCCACCACACCTGGCTAATTTTTGTATTTTTAGTAGAGAGGGGGTTTCACCAGGTTTGTCAGGCTGGTCTCAAACGCCTGACCTCAGGTGATCTGCTTACCTCAGCCTCCAAAAGCGCTGGGATTACAGGCGTTAGCCACTGCACCCGGCCTGTATTGAATACAGTTTTCTTAACAACATATGTAACTTCTAGGTTTTTGATTGTTTGGTTCAGTTTGCTTTCATAAAAACATTTAAAGAAGTTTTCAATTTGTTGTCTGTGTAAGATACTCTATTTTCTGTAACTATGTTTTTATTCATAAGAACATGTTAAAAATTCTCACAATAGGTGGGGGGGACACGGAGGAAGACTGGCCACATTATCTGGTAAAAGTAGCAACCAAAAATTATTAAGCACTTGGAGTATGCTAGCACTGAGCTAAATTCTTGACATTCATTATTTCATTTGATTCTCACAATCACCTCATGAAGTAGATTCTATTAAATTACCTATGTGGAAAGGTCACATCCTTAGAAGTGTCAAACTATGGGCAAGAATCTAGGTGGTCTGACATCAGAATCCATAATGTTAAGTACTTTAATATATGAAATAAAGACCAACACCATCCATCAAATCGATATGTGTATTTATTGCACAAATATCCCCTAGAACTGGGAGGTTATTATAATACAAGTGTACATTTGAGAAATGTATACAGAACAAGAAACAACTATGTACATTTTACATATCCATCATCTAAGTAACTTAGAAAAAGCAGAACAATCTCATAAGACATATACCAGAAATAGGCATTATGTAAAATCTGTTTTTTAAGTGATCATCCCCAGAGTATGCCAATTTCAACAAAATGAAATCTGTAATAGTATGTTTTTATTGCACTTAACATTTTCAAACTCAAAATTAAGACATATTATTAAAAGCCAGAAATACTTAAAATCAAACCAATTAGTTTATATACAGGAAAAAAATTAGTTTTAATTCTATAATGTAAAAGATCCCTTTTTTATTTCCTGTTTCAATAAACAGGGTTTTTATTTTGATATGTAATAACTGTCTGTTATCATAACTTGAAAAATTATTTTGAACAAGCCAAAAACTCTTTTCACATTCATCATAATGACCACACTTTAAAGTAGCAGCAGCTCATTCCTTGGGCTTTGCATAAGGAAAGAATGACTATGATGAAGACAACAGAAATTATAGAAGAGTTAGGAATTATAAAACTCAGGAATGGGAGGGAAGGGGGAGGAAAACAACAACAACTCAGGAACCCTATAAGGATTAATGATTCTTTAAGGAACTATAGGCCACTTCCTTCCCAGCAAAGCTTAGCTTTAGAAACAACAGTAGCATGAGCCACCCACTTATTGAGGACTAGAATTTAAAAAATGGTAATTAAACATTTTAAATAAAGAATAGTTTGATGGTTAAGGAAACACCCAGATATTATACAACCGCTACATATAGCTACAATATAAAAATAATGTACAAGGCCGGGTGCGGTGGCTAATGCCTGTAATCCCAGCACTTTGAGAGGTCGAGGCGGGTGAATCACTTGAGGTCAGGAGTTCAAGACCAGCCTGGCCAACATCATGGTGAAATCTCATCTCAATAAATGTACAAAATTAGCTGGGCATGGTGGTACACACCTGAAATCTCAGCTACTTGGGAGGCTGAGGCAGGAGAATCACTTGACCTGGGAGGCAGAGGTTGCACTGAGCTGAGATGGCACCATTGTACTCTAGCCTGGATAACAAGAGTGCAACTCCATTTAAAAAAAAAAAAAAAAAAGTAAAATGGCCCACATGAACTTTTTAATATTCCGAATTCTGCCAAAAAGATTGACTCATAGAATTCCAAAATTAGACAACCGAATAATTTTGTTAATGCATGGAATAAGAAAATTAAGCCAAAGAAAATAAGCCAAACACTCCTTGGCAGCGAGTCATCCATGGGAGACTCAGGTAATAACTGGGAGCAGGTAAAAGGTCATGGGCCAAACAGATTGCAGACACACCAATTTCAGGTTTACATTCCATAAAAACAACCATTTCTTCTTCATCTAGTTGGAGGTCTCTCTTTTTTTTGAGGGAGAGAGAGGAGTCTCACTCTGTCGCCCAGCCTGGAGTGCAATAGCGCAATCTTGGCTCACTGCCACTTCTGCCTCCCAGGTTCAAGCAATTCTCCTGCCTCAGCCTCCTGAGTGCCATCACACACGACTAATTTTTTGTATTTTTAGTAGAGATGGGGTTTCACCCTGTTAGCCAGGATGGTCTTGATCTCCTGACCTTGTGATTTGCCTGCCTCGGCCTTCCAAAATGCTGGGATTACAGGTGTAAACAACTGCACCTGGCCTGGAGGTCTCTTGAATACATACAGAACAAGGCAAAATGTGACCCAATGCTGTAAATTCAAGGTCAAAGACAACTTTCCATTAACTGTTGAAAATTTAACAGCAAGAATGGATGTTTTATATAGTAAATGTATTTTAATAACTGAATAAACTAGTGTATTTTTTAAATCAATGATGAAATTATTATGAAAATGTCAATGAAAGCAGAAACCAACTTTACTACTAGCATTAAGTTTCTTAGACCAGATAAGCAAAGAATAAACTATAATGTAGTATTCAAGTAAACTGAGGTAGTAGAGCGTATTGAAAACTTTATCCACCCAACTTTCTATTTACATTACTTACAAGAGTTTGGTTCTGTATTAGCCTTTCTTACAAGTAACACTCTATAGTATATACAAAGGCAACAACTGAGAAGTAAAATTCTCTGAAAAAATGCGCTTTTGGAAGGGAGGGGCTCTTAGAAAAAAGAATATTTTTAAGAGTTATGAATTCTATTAGTGTAAATGGAGTATTATTAAGCAGTGAAACAAATATTTGGCTCCTATGGGTTCATGAAGGGCTGATACCAAAAGCAAGGGCCTTGGCTACCTGAGTAGTTTTAAAGAATATAGTATGGTTTTTGCCAATGCTTTTGTGTAATTTTTAATCCCAATTTTCATTTATGTTAAATTAGTGAATAGGTAAATAATAATATTCATAAGAATAGTTCATACTTATAAACAAATGGTATGAAGTAGTATTCTCATTTGGGGAATCTCAACCTTAAAAAGGTTGGCTTTACTTATATTTTAAGAGTATGTGAAACAGAAAAATCACCAGTAAGTACAGTTCAGCGATATGGACAATACTAGTTGCAAAATTTTTTTTAAAGGCATGTTTACCAATCTTGTATTTCTTACCTCTTTTAAAAAAAAAAATAGGTATATATGTACACTTGGGTGGATAACCTAACACATTCACACTCATTATTCTAAGTTTGTTATAATTAACAGGCTGTTTAAAATACTTGGAGAAATAACCAGAAATTAGCTGTTTTGAATTGCAAAACAAAGTAACAAATAATCAAGGTTTTATAGATTTCTGTACCTTAGAAATTAAAAATTAAAAACTAACAAAATGACCTTCTGAGCCATTAAATTATGAGACACTGTTGCTATTTATGAGTTGTGACAACACTGAGTGATCACATGAAACTCCTGACAACATTCATTTTGTAGAAATTTTTACCATACATTTTGGCTTTTTCAAATGCTTCAAAATTATTAATGTTGCTCTAGTTTGTTTAAAAATCTACCACCACCCAAAAGTCCAGTCAAAAAGAAAAAGCCATCTGACATATATGGAATACACAATGCTGTGCAGGATACCCTGGTGACTGACTCATTCAGAAGAAAGTCTAAGAGGGAAAAAGAATCTCCATAAATGCATGTTGTGTCTGCTTCCTTGGTTTCTACTTATCTTCCCACCAATTTCTAACAACCTTAGGCATACTAAAGGAGTATTTGTGCAACATATGGAGAGTGAGTGCTTGCTACAGCAGCCAAAAGTGGAAGATCACTGGATTCAATCCTGAAATAAAAGAAAAAAAAAATGTCAGTTCCAATTTTCTATACTGAGGACATGAACTCTACTACCTGTAAGGTCACAGTACCTCAATGGTTAAGGGCCTAGGTCACTCAGGACAAAATTTTCAGTAAATAAAACACAGAACTACAGATATGAGTAACAAAATCATAAATGTAGGAAAGTGTCTCAATGACATGCTGATGGAACATACATTTGGGCAAGACACAATGACTAACAACTACAATCTAGTGTAATAATAGCTTGATACAGTGACTCATGCTTGTAATCCCAAAACTTTGGGAGGCCTAGGTGGGAGGATTGTTTAAGCCTAGGAGTTCAAGACCAACCTAAGCAACATAGTAAGACCTTGTCTCCGTGAAAATTTTAAAAAACTAGCTGGGCGTGGTGGTGTGTGCCCACGGTCCCAGCTACTCCTGAAGCTGAGGCAGAAGGATCTCTTGAGTCCAGGAAGTTGAGGCTAAAGTCAGCCATGCACCAACAGCAGGGCGACAGAGTGAGACCCTGTCTCAAAAAAAAAAAAAAAAAAACGCCGGGCACAGTGGCTCACGCCTATAATCACAGCACTTTGGGAGGCCAAGGCGGGTGGATCACGAGGTCAACAGATCGAGACCATTCTGGTCAACATGGTGAAACCCCGTCTCTACTAAAAATACAAAAAATTAGCTGGGCATGGTGGCGTGCACCTGTAGTCCCGGCTACTCAGGAGGCTGAGGCAGGAGAATTGCTTGAACCCAGGAGACGGAGGTTGCAGTGAGCTGAGATCATGCCATTGCACTCCAGCCTGGGTAACAAGAGCGAAACTCTGTCTCAAAAAATAAAAATAAAAATAAAAAAGAATAATAGTCTGTACCCAGATTGTTTGAGATTCAAATGTTTTTATAATAAGATTTACTGGAAGTAATGGGAGCTTCATCAAAATACATTTTACCACAAATTTATAAGAAAAGAAAAATGGCCAATCAACATAGACAGTAGTAATCAGATCCCTCATGGTTAGAGAAATTTGGATAAAATCAGGTGCCATTTTTTAGCTAGTACCTTGGAAAAGATCAAATTTGGTAAGAGCCAGTAGTGAGTAGAGTGCCTATTACTGTTTGTGGGAATTCATATTGAAACTTTCTGGAGAGTATTCAGTATAATCTATCAAACTATCAATACAGGCCCTTTAACCAAAAATTCTATTTCAATGAATTTATCCTACAAACGTCAAAGATTGATATTCAGTCTAGCATTGGTTTATAGTAGCAAAAAACTAAAAACAATCTAAGTTCCAAAATATAATGGAATGCTAGACAGCCATTAGGAAGAATGACATTGATTAGTATGTGCTTATATGAATAGTCAAGATATATTAAAAGTTGTACAACAACATAAGAGCATAAACCAACATAGATTTTTAAAAAATATTCATTTAAAAATTCTATAAAACAATCTGTTAACAGCATCTGAATAGGGGTTGGAAGTTGGGGGAAAGAAGACAATGACCTACTTTTCATTGTCTGCCAAAATATACTGTGCATTTTGGTTATATGTACGTTAGTTTTAAATCTTATCTTAAATATTTTTACATAAAGGCATTAAACACACACATACACACACACACACACACACACACTCACTCACTCCCCAGATATACAAGATTATATCCTGTTACTGATTTTCCAAATATTGGAAAACAATTTTCTCTGTATAACTCAAGTAAAAATCTTCATCAGGACTTGATCAAGAGTGTGGTGCTACAGAATATAAAGAGGGTCTAAAGTAACAAAGATACAGAGTCATTCAAATCCCTGTCAGTCCTACCAGTGTGTGACATGTGGCATGTTAACTGACAGAATCATCTGTTTCCAACCTGGATGACACTGCCTACACACTGTAGGATGATAATACGAATTAAGAAATAACACTAATAAATTTTTAATTTGGGTTTCTGACATACAGTAGGTTCTCAGTGATGTTGGTTTCTTTTCCCATCATAAAAGCCAAACTAGATAAAAGTTCTGGCTTGTTTTACTTTCTTTAATGGGATTTCAAGAAATGAATCACACGAACACGCCTAAAGTGGCCAAAGAACAGAGGAAAAGTGACCACAGAACATAATGAAATAGGGCCATACAATGCTCCCTACCAACTTCCCATTGCTCTTTCAGTAAGCATTTTTGTTAACTTTTCTGCCACAGAAAAATGCAGAGTAGACAGATATAATATATAGTTAATGGGAAGGAGGAGTAATATGTAGATAACATATTATCATTCACAGACTTCTGTTACATCATTTGGAAGGCAGGATACATACTTGGGAAAAAAGAGTTTTCAACATATTTAAAAAATAAAATGAGTATGTACTTATTTTTTCTGACACAAAAATTCAGATTTTAATTCATTCTGACTATATTCTCAACCTACTATATGTAATGGCACAAAGAAGGGATAATGCCTTTCAGATTTGTGGATGACAGGAAATCTGCTATTATATGGTACAGGGCAACCTAAATGATAACAGCCTCCAGCTTCTCATAGAAAAAGATACTTAAAAGAAAAAGGGCAATTCTGAGCAACATTCCTTACCTGATGACAGAGCAATGAAAGCAAAGCCAGAGAAGAAACCATTAACATACCCCAGAACCACTCCCAGCTCCTTGACATGAACACGCATCTGCCCCCTCAGGTATTCAGACAGCATTTTACTTTTGAAGTATAGCTCCTGCAACCGGTCTTCAAGATGCATTACACACTGCAGTTAGGGAGGAATCAATAATCAAGTCAGAAAACAGTTTGCAACACTGAGTCATGGCAAATTCCAAAACAAAATGTTTCAGACAATTCTCTTTATTTATTCCAACATGAACTAAAATTTGAAGCACATTTTTAAAGTATGTAGTTTTAGCTAAAAAGGGAAGTGAACCTTTTCCTGGCTCATATCAAAGATTAGCTTCTACATCGTCTTTTTCTCTTAACAGTGCCAAAATACACATGATATAAAATTTACTCTTTTAACAATTTTCTGTTTGTTTGTTTTTGTTTTTGAGATGGAGTCTCACTGTGTCACCCAGGCTGGAGTGCATTGGTGCAATCTCAGCTCACTGCAATCTCTGCCTCCCGGGTTAAAGAGATTCTCCTGCCTCAGTCTCTCAAGCAGCTGGGACTACAGGCATGCACACCGCCCAGATAATTTCTTTTGTATTTTTAGTACACACAGGGTTTCACACCACATTGGCCAGGCTGGTCTTGAACTCCTGACTTCAGGTGATCTGCCTGCCTCGACCTCCAAAGTGCTGGGATTCCAGGTGGGAGCCACTGTGTCTGGCCCCTTTTTAAAGCATTTTCAGTGGTACTAAATACATTGAAAATGTTGTGCAACCATCACCACTATCCATTTCCAAAACATTTTTCTGCTATGTTTTTATTGTAAATTTGATCAATATAAAATTTTTATGAATAAAAAATTTCAATTGTATTTACATAGGAAAGGATGTATTCTGTGGAGAATAAAAAACAGTTGGCAAAACTTCACAAAGAATGCTATGTAGTTTCCCAATTTCTAAGCTGAAAGACTGAAAGTTAAAACACATCTGGGCATGGCGGCTCACACCTATAATCCCAACACTTTGGGAGGTGGTGGCAAGAGGATCACTGAGAACAGCCTAGGCAACATAGTGAGACCCCTGTCTCTACAAAAAAAAAAAAAAAAAAAACAAAAACCAATTATCCAGGTATGGTGGCACGATCCTGTAGTCTTAGCTAGTTAGGAGGTTAAGGTGAGAGGACTGCTTGAGCCCAGGGTTTTGAGGGTGCACTGAGCCATGACTGTGCCACTGCAGTTCAGCCTGGGTGACAAAAGTCAGAAATATATGAAAACACATATATTCTGTTTTTTGTCAATTAACTTGCTCAATTTACTAAAATAGGTGATTTATCATGTGAATTGATGCTTAACATATTTGAGGAAAAAACAGAAGTTTCAGGTGCTAAACATTAGATTCTTCAGTGTTCCTTTCCAATGAAAATCAGCTATTAAGCTCCTAATAAAAATCCACTTTATTATTGGAAAAACACAACCAAATGGTTGTGGCTTTGTAGCGTATATTTTTCTCACAATACTTTAGGCTGATAATGCCATAAGAAAATGTTGAAAACGTTAATTGCTGAATATATGTATACATAAAATATGTAATATAATTATATTACTGTATTAACCACTTGACAGTATATAATTCCATAGTACTAAGAGCATTCACAATGTTGTGCAACCATCAACACCATCCATTTCCAGAACGTTTTTTCATCATCTCAAACAAAAACCCTGTATTCAGCATCTCAAATGAAAACTCTGTACTCATTAAACAATAACTCCTCATTCTCTTCTTTCCTGCAGCCTTTGGTAACCACTATTTTACTTTCAGTCTCTATGAATCTGCCTATTTGTAGTACCTCATATAAGTGAAATCATACACTATTTGTCCTTTTGTGTATAGTTTATTTCACTTAGCATAATGCTTATGAGTTTCATCCATATTGTCGCATGTATTAGAATTTCGGTCCTTTTAATGGCTGAATAAATATTGCAACAAAACCCCATTTTGTTTATCCATTCATTTGCTGATGGATGCTTGGGTTATTTCTAACATTTGGCTATTGAGAATAACATTTCCATGAACAATAGCATACAATTATCTGCCTGAATCCCTGCTTTTAATTGTTTTGAGTATAAACATAAAAGTGAAATCAACAGATCATATGATAATACTATGTAAAACTTTTTGAGGAACAGCCAAACTTTTCCACAGCTCCATTTTACATTACCATCAACAATGCATGAGGGTTCCAAGGTTGCCACATCTTGGCCAATACTTATATTTGTTATGGATTCTTTTTATCATAGTCATCCTTACAGGTATTGAATGGCAGGTCACTGTGGTTTTATTTGCATTTCTCTAATGACTAATGATGCTAAACATATTTCCATGTGTTTATTGGCCATTTGTATATTTTCTTTGGCAAAATGTCTATTCAAGTCCTTTGCCTTTTTTAAATTCAATTATTTACTTTCTGTTGAGTTGTAGGAGTTCTTTATATATTCTGAGTATCAATCCCTTTTCAGATATATGATTTGCAAATATATTCTCCTATTTTATAGGTTGTCTTTTTACTCTGTTGATATATAGCTAATAAACAAAAGTTTTTGATTTTGATGAAGTCCAATTTATCTATTTTTTTTACTTTTTTACTTATGCTTTTGGTATCAAATTCAAGAAGTCATTGCCATATCCAATGTCACAAAGATTATCACCTAGGTTTTTTTTAAGTTTTATAGCATTAACTAAAATCTTTGATCTATTTGGAGTTCATTTCTGTACATGGCATAATTCTTTTGTATGTGAATATCCAGTTTTCCCAGCAACTTTTGTAGAAAAGACTCCTTTCTGGCCGGGCACTGTGGTGCACACCTATAATCCCAGTACTTTGGGAGGCCAAGGCGGGCAGATCACCTGAGGTTGGGAGTTTGAGACCAGCCTGACCAACATGGAGAAACCCTGTCTCTACTAGAAATACAAAATTAGCAGGGCATGGTGGTGCATGCCTGTAATCCCAGCTCCTCGGGAGGCTGAGGCAGGAGAATTGCTTAGAGTTCAGGAGGTGGAGGTTGCAGTGAGCTGAGATTGCATCACTGCACTCCAGCCTGGGCAACAAGAGTGAAAATCCATCTCAAAAGAAAAAAAAGAAAAGACTCCTTTTCCTGTTGAACGGTCTTGGCACCTTTGTTGAAAATCAATTAAACTTATATGTGAGGGTTTTTAGAATCTCCATTCTATTCCATTGGTCTATATGCCTTTCCTTATGCCAGTAGCACAATGTTTTGAGTCCTGTAGCTTCATAGTAAGTTTTGAAATCAAGAAATGTGAATCCACCAACACTGTTGTTTTTCAAGATTGTTTTATCTCTTTGGGGGGGTCTCTTGACATTCTTAATTTATTTTAAGATGGGTTTTTCTATTTCTGCAAAAAGTATCAATTGGATTTTGATAGCAATTACATTCAATCTGTAGGTAACTTTGAGTAGTAATGACATCCTACATTTATATATGCCTTCAATTTCTATCAGTAATGTTTTATGTCTTACGGTGTACAAGTCTTTTACCTCCCTAAATTTACTCCTAGGTAATTTATTCTTTTTGGTACTATTGTTAGTGGAACTGTTTTATTAATTTCCTTTTCAGAGTGTTCACTGCTCAAATAATTGTACAGAAATGCAACTTACTTCTATGTGTTTTATATTACGCAAATTTGCTTAATTTGCTTATTAGCACTACCAGTTTTTTGTGGAATCTTTACGTTTTCTATGTACAAGAGGATCATGTCATCTGCAAACAGAGATAATTTTATTTCCTCTTTTCCAGTTTTGAAGTCATCCGTATTTTTCTTGCCTGACTTCTCTGGCTAAAACTTTCAGTAGCATGTGCAAACAGACGCAGTGAAAGTGGATAGCATTGCCTTTTTCCTAATCTTAGGGAAATGCTTTCAGTCTTCCACCACTTAGTGTGATGTTGGCTGTGGGTTTGTCAGAGATATCCTTTATCATCTTGAACTACAGAGCTTTTAAACTATGCTATATTATAGTTCTCCTAATAAGTGAAAGAAAGAACCCTGTAAGTTTGAAATGGAGTAATTAGTAAGAGGTCATCAGTATTATAAAGAGGTCATTCAAAGTCCTGACATGACAATGAGGATCCAGAATATCAGTGGCCTATGAAGATGAGGAAGAGTGAGAAAGGTTGTTCTCTTTCCATGTGAGGATACAATGAGAAAACAGCCGTTTTATGACATTCTACATAAAGCTTGGGAGATTTTGTTTTGTTTTGTGAGATGGAGTTTCACTCTTGTTGCCCAGGCTGGAGTACAATGGCGCATTCTTGGCTCACCGCCACCTCTGCCTCCCGGGTTCAAGCGATTCTTGTCTCAGCCTCCTGAGTAGCTGGGATTACAGGCATGTGCCACCATGCCAGCTAATTTTGTATTTTTAGTAGAGATGGGGTTTCTCCATGTTGGTCAGGCTGGTCTTGAACTCCCAACCTCAGGTGGTCTGCACTCCTTGGCCTCCCAAAGTGCTGGGATTATAGACGTAAGCCACTGTGCCCAGCCAAGGGAGATGTTGCATGACTATACTACACATGATCAAAAATTCTGGCTGCTGAAATCAGAACATACAGACAGGTATACATCCCCTTTTGTCTTAGCTTGGGCTGCCATAACAAAATATCATACACTGAGTGGCTTAAAAAAAAACCACACACATGTATAGCTGGGCATGGTGGCTCATGCCTGTAATCTCAGCACTTTGGGAGGCTGTGGCAGGAGGAACACTTGAGCCCAGGAGTCTGAGAATAGTCTGGGCAATGGGGCAAAATGCCATCTCTACCAAAAAATACAAAAAATTAGCCAGGCATGGTAGCATGTGCCTATATTCCCTGACACTCAGCAGGCTAAGGCAGGAGGATCATCTGACCCCAAAAAGTCAAGGCTGCAATGAGCCAAGATGGCACCATTGCACTCCAGCCCAGGTGATGAGAGTATGACACAGTCTCAAACACATAAACAAAAAAACTCAGATATTTATTTTCTCACAGTTCTGGAAGCTAGAAATCCAAGACCATGGTGCAAGCATGGTTCGGTTCTGGTGAGGGCTCTCTTCCTGCTGGCAGACGGCTGTTTTCTCATTGTATTCTCACATGGTGGAAAGAGAACAACCTTTCTCACTCTTCCTCATCTTCTTAGGCCACTGATACCATCATGAGTACCCCACCCTCAAGACCTGATCTTAAAATACCTCCCAAAGACCCTATCTCCAAATACTGTCACACTGAGGATTAGAGCTTCAATATATGAGTTCGGGTCATAACACAAACATTCAGTCCCTAACAGCTTTTTTACACAAAAACAATCATGAAAGCTAGCAGCAGTATTTACAGTAGGCATAAATGAAGCAGAGTTTAGTTATCTACTAGAGCCCTTAAAGTAATGCAATCATTGCTACACATACTTACAAAATTTGGAGACAAGTTATGCTTATAAAGCTGAAGTGTGGAATGAAGCAGGTTGGAAACAAGACTGGAAACCAATACTTCCTTTCCCAATTTATTATCTGTCACTCGTCTCTGGCTACTGGCCACTTGAACAGTCCATTTATCCATGTCAGCTATAATACAGACAGCTTCTGCTATTGGTTCATCCAACACTGGATGCTGGAAATAAAAGAATAATTCATCTTATGATTAGCAAATGAAGTTTCCAAAGACAATAGTAATTCAGCAATGAAGGTTTACTAAACAAAAACAAAAGAATATTAAACTTCAATATTTTGATATCTCCTTGACCAAGGAGAATAGAATAACTAACTCATTAACAAACACCCTGAGACATATTATAGATGTCATCATAGATAGAGACTTTGTATTCATTACAAGGACTTTGTATTATTTAGTCCAGAACTTAACTTTCAACAGTCTTTTGATCATTCATTAATTTGAAAAATGTATTAGGTGTTAACTATGTGCCAGGCAATTGAAAGAAAATGTTCTCTACCCTAAAAGAGACAAACATTTTATTTTGTTTTTTTGTTTTTGAGACGAAATCTTACTCTGTCACCAAGCTGGAGTGCAGAGTCACTATCTCAACTCACTGCAACCACTGCCTCCCGAGTTCAAGCTATTACCCTGCCTCAGCCTCTCAAGTAGCTGGGACTACAGGTCTGCACCACCACACCTGGCTAATGTTTTGTATTTTAGTAAAGAAAGGGTTTCACCATGTTGGCCAGGATGGTCTCGATCTCCTGACCTCATGATCAGCCTGCCTTGGCCTCCCAAAGTGCTGGTATTACAGGTGTGAGCCACTGTGCTGCATCTGAGAAAAACATTATAAAAATTGGACAGGGTAGGACAGGACAAGACAGATGCAGTGGCTCACATCTATAATCCCAGCATGCTGGGAGGCTGAGGTGGGAGGACCGCTTAAGGCCAGGAGATTGAGACTAGTCTGAGCAACATAGCCAAACCTCATCTCTACCAAAAAAAAATCTAAAAAATCAGGCAGGAATGCTGGTATGCACCTGTAATCCCAGCTATTTAGGAGGCTGAGGCAGGATGATTGCTTGAACCCAGAAATTCAAAACTGCAGTGATCTAAAACTGTGCCACAGCACTCCAATCTGGGTGAAAGAGTGAGACTGTGTTTCAAAAAAAAAAAAGACTTATTTACATAAATAAGTCAATGGTAAGATCCTGTGCTAACTATCCCAATATGTCAGGCATTAATATCCCTCAGCACCAGAGAAGCTATTCCTTGATGTCACGAAATACTTTGTTGCCTACATGCCTTAGATTTTTCTGTTTGACTAAGACATATGTCTAGAGTATGAATACAGCAGTAAAAATGGGACACATCAACATATACTAATATGGTTCCCTAAGATACATTGTTAAATGAAAAACAAAATTTTTTTTGAGCCAGGCCCAGCGGCTCATGCCTATAATTCCACTACTTTGGGAGGCTGAGGAAGGTGGATCACCTAAGGTCAGGAGTTTAAGACAAGCCTGGCCAACATGGTGAAACCCCAATTCTACTGAAAATACAAAAATTCAGCTAGGTGTGGTAGTGGGCACCTGTAATCCTAGCTACTCAGGAGGCTGAGGCAGGAAAATTGACCCGGGAGGCAGAGGTTGCAGTGAGGTAAGATTGCACCACTGCACTCCAGCCTGGGCAACAAGAGTGAAACTCGGTCTCAAAAAAAGTCACTATACATACAGTTATGTTTCTAAAAATTCATATTTACATCTAAATAAAAATGTACAGAAAAAAGAAAAAAATCAAGTATGAAATACTGAAGATCTCCATGCAGAAGCAGGAATATTAAGAGTATAAAGGTCTACATTTTACTCTGTGCATCTTTATATTGTTTATAAGCCCATGCTTAGCATCCTCAAATGATATTCCTTTGCCTAGTTAATAAACAACTACTCTGAATAAAGCTCTGCCCTGGAAACTAAAGAAACAAGGACAACAGAACTCATAGGCTTGTAAGGGAGATCAAAATAAATACATCTATCTTTTTAAAAATGTGTTAATGATGAAGCAGAAACCAAGTGCTGGGGAAGTAGAGGAGGGCAATTGTGGATCTGCATGATACGGAGTTTCTCAGTGAAAGGGATATAGGAATATGACATTGGAGTGTATAGATAGGACTACTAGTAAAAAAAATGGGAGTACATGGATAATTCAGTAAGAATAAGACTCAGAAATAGAAGTAGATACAAATGGCTACATTTGTGAGAAATGATTTTGAGAAATAAGAGATAAGAGAATGGCAAAGGAAAAGCCCAGAAATATACCTTGGGAAGATTTTCCATGGAATGCAAAATTTATTTGTTTTTTATAAAATGGCACTCAAATATTTATTCATCTCTTGCCAAGGACAGAACTCTTTGTTAGTCTTCACTTAATTATGGAAATACAATTTTGGCAAAGGTATATACACCTGTGATATAGGAAAATCTATTCAGCTGACCAACAACATGGGTTCAAACTGCAGGTCCACTTAGATGCCATTTATTTTCAATATAATATATGGAAAAAGTTTTTGGAAATTTGCAACAATTTGAAAAACTTAAGAGACAAAAACTGCATAGCCTAGAAAAACAGAATATAAGAAAAAGTGAGGCATGTCATGAATACATAAAATATATGTAGATGCATGAAAAGTGGTGTGCATTTGTAATCCTAGCTACTGGGGAGGCAGAGGCAGGAGGATCAATTAAGCCCAGTAGTTTGAGAGACTAACCTGAGAAATATAGTAAGACCTATCTCAAAACAAACAAAAAATATAGATAGTATGTTTTATCATTTACTACTGTAAAATATATGCAAATCAACTAAAAAAGTTAAAAATTTATAAAAACTTACACACTTACAAAGCATACAAGGTGACATTCACAGCCCAGCGAAATGTAAGCAAATGTAAAGATGTAGTATTAAATCATAACTGCATAAAATTAGCTGTATAACCTACTATACTACTGTAATAGTGTTGTAGCCACTTCCTGTCACTATTGCCCGAGCTCAAGTGTTGCAAGCATGTACTTAAAATACCCCACCAAGTTAATCATCTCTGCGGGAGCAGTTCCTCTCTCCAATAAATTGTGTATCTCAGTAAAAAACTGATCTCTTGTGGGAGGCTAAGGTAAGAGGATCCCTTAAGCCCGGGAGTTCAAAGCTGCAGTGAGCTATGACTGTACCACTGCACTCCAGTCTGGGTGACAGAGTGTGACTCTGTTTCTAATAAAACAAAATAAAACAAAAAGATAACAAATAAAACTGATCTCTAAAGGTTCTCAGGTATTTTCCATCATGTTTACTGTGATACAGCAAACCCTGAATAATATCATGGGACCCACATGGAGTGCCACTAGTGATGCTGGGAATGCTCTTAAGTAGAGAGAAGTTAAGACATTACAAGAAAAAGTTGAATGACTTGATATGGACCATAGATTGAAGGCTAGTAGCTGTGGTTACCCACCATTCCAAGATAAAATGAATCCATCAAGAGGATTGTTGTAAAATAACACAAGTAAATTTGTGAAGCTGTCACTGCAGTGACGCCACTAGGTGTGAAAACCATGTACTTCTGCAGAACACCTTTTTATCTCATAATGAAAATGCAGCTGTTATGTGGATACAGGATTGCTGTAAAAAAGCTCTAACTATAGACTCTAACATTGTTTTTTTTTTAAAAAATGAAGTCATTATACAACAACATAAAGCAAAAGGAGGGTAAAGGATCTAAAGCTGGAGAATTTAATGCTAGGAAAGAATGGGTTTATAATTTTAGAAACAGTTTTAGCTTAAAAAACATCAAGATAACAGCTTTTGCTGACCAAGAGGCAATAGACAAATTCCCAGACACCATCCAGAAAATCATAAAGGACAAAAGATACCTGCTTGAACAGGTTTTTATTGCAGATGAAAGTACCATATTGTGGAAGAAGATGCCACAAAGTACATTTATTAGTAAGGAAGAGGAGCAAGCACCAAGATTCAAGGCAGGAAGGGATAAGCTAACTCCACTGTTTTGTGTAAATGCATTCAGGATTAAGATCAGAACTACCCTTATATAAAGAGCTGCTAACCTCTGGACCTTGAAGAAAAAAAGGTAAACACCACCCCTGCCAGTCTTCTGACTGTTGAAAAAGAAATCTGGAAAAACAAAACCTCTTTTTCTGGATTGAATCCACCCATGCCTTTTTTTTTTTTTTGAGACAGTCTCACTGTGTCGCCCAGGCTGAAGTGCAGTGGCAAGATCTCAACTCACTGCAACCTCTGACTACTGGGTTCAAGCGATTCTCTTGCCTCAGCCTCCCAAATAGCAGAGACTACAGGTGCCTGCCACCAAACCTGGCTAATTTACGTATTTTTAGTAGAGATGGGGTTTCAATACGTTGTCCAGGCTGGTCTTAAATTCCTGACCTCATGATCCGCCCACCTCGGCCTCCCAAAGTGCTGGGATTATAGGCATGACCACTGTGCCTGGCCCCACCAAGCTTTATCTCTAAAATCAGGAAGTACCTTGCCAGTAAGCGACTGCCTTTTTAAGTTCCTATGTTTGACAATGCCCCTGGCCACCCAGAACCTTGTGAGTGTTAAAGTAGTCTAGTTGCCTCTAAACACATCTCTAACTCAGGCTCTAGATCAGGGTGCCATAAAGGCCATTAAACACAATATTCTATAAAACTGACTGTTAGTGCTATGGAAAAGAACTGCAATGGAGAGAACATGATGGCAGTCAGAAGAATTACTCCACAGAATATGCCATTGCTGTTACAGAAAAATCTATGAAAGTCATCAAGCCTGAAACAATAACTTCCTGCTGGAGAAAACTACATCCAGATGTTGTGCACAGAACTTAACAACAGAACCAATCAAGGAAATCATGAAAGAGATTGTAAATATGGCAAAAAAAAAAATTGGTGGGTGAAGACATTCAAGATATGGATTGTCAAGAAATTCAAGAGCTAATAGACACCATACCAGAGGAATGAACAGAAGACAACTCAATGGAGATGAGTGCTTCTAAACCAGTGGCAAACAATGAGGAACAAGACATAGAAGCATCAATGCCAAAAATCAAATTAACATTAGCAAAAGGGTTCTTAATATTCAAGACTGCTTTTTATTTCTTTTACAACATGAACCCTTCTATGATACTGAAACCGCCTTTGCAAAAGTTATATTACTGAGAACATTATTACAGTAAACTAAGCTAGCCCAAACCCCATCTTGCCTTTCCCTTAATTATTATGGGCTATGGGGCCAAGCTAACTTTGACAGACATTTAGACTACAGTTTTTCAATTTTATTATTATTTTTTAAAGTGTGTACTTTTATTCAACTATGTACAGGTAAGCCATAGCTGCCTCCACCCACTCCCAGGGAGACCAAAAGCTTTCATATATCTCAAGTTGGGGGACCAAAAAAATGGGCCACAAAGGCTGATCATTCAGAATACAACAAAATAGAAAAAATTAAGGTGAATATTAAGAAAATTTTGCATTACAGAATTTACATGAAAGCAATGCTATCACCTCCCCACTGTGGACTCTCTTCTAAGACTTCTTCTTAGAGAGAAGGGGGGTGGCTTTTAGGAGGGCAAGGGACTTCCTGTAGCAATGCATCTCAGATATTTGGAATGACTATTAAAAAAAAGATCAATGTACAATCAAAGTCCTCAACCACACTGTAGAACTTCAGGGAATGCTCACTCCAACCAACTGCTGTCCCCTACACTTTCCAATTTTTAAATCCTGAGTGAAGCCAAACAAAACAAATAAAGCCATGCCAATCTTGTTTTCTGCACAAGTTAGGTTTTGTCAAAAAAGGGTGTAATGCAACTAAGTAACAGTCTTCCTAGAAGCATTTGCAGTGGACAGTGGAGGGCCGGACTCATACTCCTGCTTGCTGACCCACATCTGCTGGAAGGTAGACAGCGAGGCCAGGATGGAGCCCTCCATCCACACAGAGTATTTGTGCTCCGGAGGAGCAATGATCTCGATCTTCATCAAGCTGGGTGCCAGAGCGGTGATCTCTTTCTGCATCCTGTCGGCAATGCCAGGGTACATGTTGGTGCCGCCAGACAACACTGTGTTAACATACAGGTCTTTGTGGATGTCCACATCACACTTCATGATGGAGTTGAAGGTAGCTTTGTGGATGCCACAGGTTTCCATGCCCAGGAAGGAAGGCTGGAAGAGTGCCTCAGGGCAGCAGATCAGCTCATGGCTGATGGTGATAACCTGGCTATTGGGCAGCTCATAGCTCTTCTCCACGGAGGAGCTAGAGGCTGCTGTGGCCATCTCCTGCTGGAAGTCCAGGGCGACAAAGCATAGCTTCTCCTTGATGTCATGCATAATTTCCCACTTAGCCGTGGTGGTAAAGCTGTAGCCATGCTTGGTGAAGATCTTCATGAGGTAGCCAATCAGGTCCTGGCCAGTCAGGTCCAGACACAGGATGGCACAGGGGAGGGTGTATCCCCTGCAGATGACCATAGTGTGAGTAACTCCATTGCCAGAGTCCATCACAATGCCAGTGGTATGGCCAGAGGCATACAGGGACAGCATGGCCTGGATGGCCACGTACATGGCTAGGGTGTTGAAGGTCTCAAACATGATCTGGGTCATCTACTTGTGGCTGGCGTTGGGGTACAGGGGGGCCTCAGTCAGCAGCACATGGTGCTCCTTGAAAGCCACATGCAGCTAATTATAGAAGGTGTAGTGCCAGATTTTCTCCACGTCATCCCAGCTGATGATGCTGCTGTGTTCAATAGGGTACTTCAGGGTCAGGATGCCTCTCTTGCTCTGGGCCTCAATGCCCACGCGGGAGTCCTTCTGACTCACACCCATCATCATGTCCTGGTGCCTCCACTGCCCCATGATGGGGGAGATGACAGCCTTGGGGGGATCACTGCCCACAAGGCTGCCCTTGCACATGCAGGAGCCGTTGTTGACAAAAAGTACGGTGATATCATCATCCATGGTGGACTGGTTACAGGTATGGACAGGTGGCAGAGTGGTGAGGACGAGGCTCTGTGCTTTCAAGGCATATGCAATCCTGGCAGTCTAGGCTACAGTTTAAATGACAATACATCTTACTCAAAACTCAACCACTTTTGTAAAGCTAAAAGGAAGCCATCAGGCTGATGGGAAGAGAGGAGTCTGAGTCCTGCTAAGGTGCAGACATTATTCTGGAGGTTATAGGATATGAAACTTACCCAGTTGCTAATAACACCACTATTGTAGATTGGCCTTTTGAGAGATCTTTCCAGGTTTTTTGCATGTCTGAGTCCCTTGCCTTGGCTCCACCTGGACTGACAACCCGCTCCTGTGGTCCCATCCAGAAGCGACTTGGCCCCAGTAGGGCAGCCTCAACCCCCTGTGATTTTATTTCTTCCCCAACCAATAAGCCACAAGCACCTTTTATGTGGCCACCCCACCCCTTTCTTCCAACTGCCTTTAAAAAACCCTTAACCTACAAGCTTTGAAGGAGATGATTTGAGTATAAACTCCATCTCCCATGTTGGGTGGCTGGACTTGTGGCTACTGAACTCTTTCTTTACTACAATATCATAGTCTGTCTTTACGCAGTGGGCAGGAAGAACCCCTGGGAGGTTACAAATTTGGGGGCTCATATGGTATCACCCTTGTGGCTACCTGCTTGTGGTTTGGTAGCCCCCTACTGGCAATAGATCCCGAGGCTAGCCCAAGTGGCTGTGTAGTTCTCTTGGACTGGAGGCTGAAGCTGACATCATCTCTACTAACAATGCACTGCTGACCCATGGTGCATGGATTTAATTGCAGTAGAGAAATAGTTCCTGTAAAGTCTTGCTCTGTCACCCAGGCTGAAGTGCAGTGGCACAATCTCGGCTCACAGCAACCTCTGCCTCCCAGGTTCAAGCAATTCTCCTGCCTCTGCCTCCTGAGTAGCTGGGACTACAGGCACACACCATTGTGCCTGGCTAATTTTGAATTTTTACTGAAGACGGGATTTCACCATGTTGGCAAGGCTGGTCATGAACTCCTGACCTCAGGTGATCCACCCGCCTTGGCCTCTCAAAATGCTGGGATACAGGCATGAGCCACCATGTTCAGCCTGGGGATATTCTAGATCTTGTAAATTGTTTACCGTCTCTTTGGAGATAACTCCTGCATCCCTGTTTAAGTCATCCCCTTAATTAAGGCTTACTGATTTCACATATCAGGTTACCACTAGTAAAAGGACTCAAAAGTCAGAGTTTGTCCTCACTGAAATCTGGTAATAAAAGATTTTAAAAGAATTTTTCTTTTGAGATTTTCATAGTCAGAAATCAACTTAATTAAAGCTGATATTTGGGCTATATGTTTACAGATACTGTTTGAAAGCCCCTGCTCTCCCTCCGAAAACTTCTCATTGGATGGAATTTTGTCTTGATTTCTGGGTATGTATATGTTTCTGTGTATTTATACGTGCTGTGTGTGATGTTTATATAGAGAGCTTCAATTAATTGGTTTAAAGAATAATAAGCACTTGAATTAAACATTGTCAGAAAAATGGAAACGTTTAAGGCCTGTAGGTCACATGACTCTAATAATGTTATTATTAATAAACTAAAATGAAAATGTCTTCCAAGTTTATATATTTAGTCTGAATTAGGCAGGTCAGACACTGCTGGATGCTTTAAGGTCATAAACTGATTCTGTGACTTTTACTAATTGTCTGTTCTCCAACCAATAGATTCTAGGTAAGGCCTGGAGACATAAGGAGTTAGGCAGGTCCACTGGCTAGGCTGGGAAAAGTCATAGGCTTTGAAATCTTACACATGGTTAAAAATGCTTGTTTATCAGGTTTCTCACCAAAAATAAAATCTGCTAAAAGTTAACAGTGCAGGGCCGGGCGCGGTGGCTCACGCCTGTAATCCCAGCCCTTTGGGAGGCCGAGGCGGGTGGATCACGAGGTCAAAAGATCGAGACCATCCTGGTCAACATGGTGAAACCCCGTTTCTACTAAAAATACAAAAAATTAGCTGGGCATGGTGGCGCGTGCCTGTAATCCCAGCTACTCAGGAGGCTGAGGCAGGAGAATTGCCTGAACCTGGGAGGCAGAGGTTGCAGTGAGCCGAGATTGTGCCATTGCACTCCAGACTGGGTAACCAGAGCGAAACTCTGTCTCAAAAAAAAAAAAAAAAAAAAGTTAACAGTGCAGCATGCATTTGAGACTACTGTAAAAACAGTTTTATATGCAAGGTGCAGAAGGAAAAAAGAAATGTGAATTTGGTGGGAGGCTATAAGAAGGGATGGGAATATGTTTTTGTTAAAGGGAATAACATTTTCTATGGCTCAGGGGGTTTTAACGATTGTCTTATCCTGAAAGACTAATGTGACAAAACTGAAGGTTTAGGCAAAGTACAGAGGATTTGTGAAGGGTTGATCTTGTAAAGGAATTTCTGTAGGTATGAGCAAGTTTGTTAAGATCTGAAGGGGACTATTTAATTTTTCAGTATGTTGAACACTGAAACAAGAGCACACTAATGCAGGGCTGGAATCTGGGCTCACCTATCTGTATTACATGGTTTTCTTTTTTTTTCCTTTTTTTTTTTATTGCAGTTTAGGTTCTGGGGTACATGTGCAGAACATGAAAGATAGTTGCATAGGTAAACACGTGGCAGTGTGATTTGCTGCCTTCCTCCCCTTCACCCACATCTGGCATTTCTCCCCATGCTATCTCTCCCCAACTCCACCCCCACTGTCCCTCCCCTCCCAGTGTGTAGTGCTCCCCTCCCTGTGTCCATGTGTTCTCATTGTTCATCACCCGCCTATGAGTGAGAACATGCGGTATTTCATTTTCTGTTCTTGTGTCAGGTTGCTGAGAATGATGTTCTCCAGATTCATCCATGTCCCTACAAAGGACACAAACTCATCGTTTTTGTTTGCTGCATAATATTCCATGGTATATATGTGCCACATTTTCCCTGTCCAGTCTATCATAAATGGGCATTTGGGTTGGTTCCAGGTCTTTGCTATTGTAAACAGTGCTGCAGTGAACATTCGTGTGCATGTGTCCTTATAGTAGAATGATTTATACTCCTTTGGATATATACCCAGTAATGGGATTGCTGGGTCAAATGGAATTTCTATTTCTAGGTCCTTGAGGAATCGCCACACTGTCTTCCACAATGGTTGAACTCCCACCAACCACCAACAGTGTAAAAGTGTTCCTATTTCTCCACATCCTCTCCAGCATCTGTTGTCTCCAGATTTTTTAATGATCGCCATTCTAACTGGCGTGAGATGGTATCTCAATGTGGTTTCGATTTGCATCTCTCTAATGACCAGTGATGATGAGCATTTTTTCATGTTTGTTGGCCTTATGTATGTCTTCTTTTGTAAAGTGTCTGTTCATATCCTTTGCCCACTTTTGAATGGGCTTGTTTTTTTCTTGTAAATCTGTTTTCGTTCTTTGTAAATTCTTAATATCAGCCCTTTGTCAGATGGGTAAACTGCAAAAATTTTTTCCCATTCTGTTGGTTGCCGATTCACTCTAGTGACTGTTTCTTTTGCCGTGCAGAAGCTGTGGAGTTTCATTAGGTCCCATTTGTCTATTTTGGCTTTTGTTGCCAATGCTTTTGGTGTTTTGTTCATGAAGTCCTTGCCTACTCCTATGTCCTGGATAGTTTTGCCTAGATTTCCTTCTAGGGTTTTTATGGTGCCAGGTCTTATGTTTAAGTCTTTAATCCATCTGGAGTTAATTTTAGTGTAAGGTGTCAGGAAGGGGTCCAGTTTCTGCTTTCTGCACATGGCTAGCCAGTTTTTCCAACACCATTTATTAAACAGGGAATCGTTTCCCCATTGCTTGTTTTTGTCAGGTTTGTCAAAGATCAGATGGTTGTAGACATGTTGTGTTGCCTCTGGGGCCTCTGTTCTGTTCCACTGGTCTATATCTCTGTTTTGGTACCAGTACCATGCTGTTTTGATTACTGTAGCCTTGTAGTATAGTTTGAAGTTGGGTAGTGTGATGCCTTCTGCTGTGTTCTTTTGGTTAGAATTGACTTGGCTATGTGGGCTCTCTTTTGGTTCCATATAAAGTTTAAGGTGGTTTTTTGCAGTTCTGTAAAGAAGATCATTGGTAGCTTGATGGGGATAGCATTGAATCTATACATTACTTTGGGCAGTATGGCCATTTTCACGATATTGATTCTTCCTAACCATGAACATGGAATGTTTCTCCATCTGTTTGTGTCCTCTCTGATTTCGTTGAGCAGTGGTTTGTAGTTCTCTTGAAGACGTCCTTTACATTCCTTGTTAGTTGTATTCCTAGGTATTTTATTCTTTGTAGCAATTGTGAATGGCAGTTCATTCTTGATTTGGCTCTCTTTAAGTCTGTAATTGGTGTGTAGGAATGCTTGTGATTTTTCACATTGATTTTGTATCCTGAGACTTTGCTGAAGTTGCTTATCAGTTTTGGAAGATTTTGGGCTGAGATGATGGGATCTTCTAGATACACAATCATGTCATCTGCAAATAGAGATGATTTGGCTTCCTCCTTTCCTAATTGAATACCCTTTATTTCTTTTTCTTGCCTGATTGCTCTGGCTAGAACTTCCAGTACTATATTGAATAGGAGTGGTGAGAGAGGTCATCCTTGTCTAGTGCCAGATTTCAAAGGGAATGCTTACAGTTTTTGCCCATTCAGTATGATACTGGCTGTTGGTTTGTCATAAATAGCTTTTATTATTTTGAGATACATTCCATCAATACCTAGTTTATGGAGGGTTTTTAGCATAAAGGGCTGTTGAATTTTGTCAAATGCCTTCTCTGCATCAATTGAGATAATCATGTGGTTTTTGTCTTTGGTTCTGTTTATGTGGTGAATTACATTTATAGACTTGCGTATGTTGAACAGCCTTGCATCCCCGGGATGAATCCTACTTGATCATGGTGGATAAGCTTTTTGATGTGCTGTTGCAATCGACTTGCCAGTATTTTATTGAAGATTTTTGCGTCTATGTACATCATTGGTATTGGCCTGAAGTTTTCTTTTCTTGAGTCTCTGCCAAGTTTTGGTATCAGAATGATGCTGGCCTCATAAAATGATTTGGGAAGGATTCCCTCTTTTGGGATTATTTGGAATAGTTTCAGAAGGAATGGTACCAGCTACTCTGTGTGTCTGGTAGAATTTGACTGTAAACCCATCTGGGCCTGGGCTTTTTTTGTGTGTGGTAGGCTCTTAACTGCTGCCTCAACTTCAGATCTTGTTATTGGTCTGTTCGGGGTTTCGGCTTCTTCCTGGTTTAGGCTTGGGGAGGAGGCAAGTGTCCAGGAATTTATCCATTTCTTCCAGGTTTACTAGTTTATGTGCATAGAGTTGTTTATAATAATCTCTGATGATGATTTGAATTTCTGTGGAATCTGTAGTGATATTCCCTTTATCATTTTTTATTGCATCTATTCTCTTTTCTTTTTTATTAATCTGGCTAGTGGTCTGTCTATTTTGTGAATTACGGATTTTCTTACTAAATTGATCTACTACTTAAAATAAAATTGTAAAAGATTAAAAAAGGGTTATGAAAACTTTACCTTATGGTTGAGCTAATTAAGATTCAATAGATTTGTTTATAAGGTTTTATTAAGAATTGGGTTTAACATTACTAACACACTAATGCAAAGGTGAAATTTGGCTTTCTCTAGAACAAGACTTTTGGGAGGCTGAGGTGGGAGGATCACTTGAAGCTCCAGAGTTTGATACCAGCCTGGGTAATACAGCCAGATCCCATCTTCACAAAAATAAACAAACAAACAAATGTTAGCCAGGCAGGCTAACATGTTCCTACAGTACCAGCTATTTGGGAAGCTAAGGTGGGAGAACTGCTTGAGACCAGGAGTTCAAGGCTGCAGTAAGTCATGTTTGTGCCACTGCACTCTAGCCTGGATGACAGAGCAAGAGTCTCAAAAAAAAAAAAAGTAACGGAAGAATGGCAAGAAACATAAACTATGCAAACACCATGCAATAATCCACACACATTAAAAAAATGTTTACACACTGTTAGTATAGGGAAATATTCTTAACTGTTATGTGACAAAAGCAGAATTTAAAACAGATAACAAAATCATATAGAGTACAAAAATATGTATATATGTAAATACATACACATGTATATATTTTATATATAAGGACTCAACTATATAAAAATATATATCATATAGATACACAGATATACACAAGCATATCTTTTATATATGAGGCTTCACATATATACATGATATATGAACACACATACATACAGAATAATAATCCTAACAAGAAGATGCAAAGCACAGTGTGACTAATGTAACCAAACAGTATAAGTCTGGTATATAAACATCAGTATTACTTTCATTATAGCCAAAGAAACTGAGGCTTTCCTAGAGTAAATATTCTGTCTTATGATATACAGTAGTAAGTGGTCAATTCTGGGTTTTATGAGAAGTCATAATGATGCCTAATGCCTGGAGGAAGTTTTGTATTAAGAATAGCTGATAACAGAGGGAAAATTTGTGTTTGACTTTCTTTACATTTCAATATTTTGTATAATAAATATATATTAATTCAGTAAGAAAAGTGCTACTTTCTTAGAAATCAGGGAGAAAAAGAAACTCCCCTCTTATAATTCAAAAAATAGGATTTTATCTTTTTTAGAAAGTATCACTTCCATTATTTTTATATTAAAAGGTTCCTACATGTTTTTCCATGTAGTCACATAAAAAATAATTTTCATTATAAATTGATAAATTATAAGTATGCAAAGATTAACGTCATTTTTTAAGAAATCCTGGCTGGGCGCAGCGGCTCACACCTGTAATCCCACCATTTTGGGACACTGAGGCAGGCGGATCATGAGGTCAGGAGATTCATGAGGGCAGGAGACTGAGATTATCCTGGTCAATATGGTGAAACCCCTTCTTTTCTAAAAATACTAAAATTAGCTGGGCATGGTGGCAGGTGCCTGTAAACCCAGCTACTTGGTAGGCTGAGGCAAAATAATAGTCTGAATCAGGGAATCAGAGGTTGCAGTGAGCCGAGATCATGCCACTGCACTCCAGCCTGGTGACAGAGTGAAACTCCGTTTCAAAAAAAAAAAAAAAAGAAAAGAAATCCTATACATGCTTTAAAATGATTGATAATAAAAATCAACACCCTGTCAGTGCTGAGATTAAAGTTCTTTATTTTCCTTTTTGTCAAATTTTTCTATAACAGTGCTTTGATAATATACTTACATGACTAAATGAAAATATGAGAGGGAAAGACTAGAAACCCAATTACTAAAACAGAGAGGGAAAGATAAATAGTTCCTTCTTTTACTCTTGGAAAGAATCTAAGAGGAACAGATTCTTTGGGACCACTAATATAAAAGTCTTGGGGGAGGACTCAAGATGGCGCTGTGAGAACAACCCAGGATTGAAGCTCTTGCTGGACGCATGGAGAGGGTGAGTCGGGGAAGCATTTCCAGATGGATCTTAGTTGCCCACAGAACGGGGAAATTCCCAGGTATAAAAGAGACGTGGGACGCCAGGCAGAGGTCTCCGCTGGCGTAGCCGGCAGCCGGTGCGGCTCCGGCCCGCGCCGGAGCGCAGAGGTGCTCCACAGCGCTCCATACAAAAGCGCACTGTTACGGGTGCCCTGTTGAACCGGCAAACTAAGACCCGAAAGGGCTGAACTTGAGACTGAACGGGTCTTGAACTGTGACCCAGCCCAGGAAATCCCAGGGACTCAGCGTTTGGGGGAGCGCAGTGCAACAAACAAAACGGCGATTCCAAACGCTCCCGGTGAATAGGTTTTCTTTTTAAAGTGCAGCTCCGCAGGGGAGGGGCATCAGCCATCACCGAGGCAATCAGCCCCTACTGAGGTACACGCCCATTGCTGACGCAGCCTGCCGCTGCCGAGGCAACCAGGTACAACAGAGAGACTCCGCTGCAGGGCTTAGCCCGAAGCAACAGGGCGGAGACCACAGCAGAAGGGCGGAGCCTGCAGGAAAAGGGCGAACCTCACACCAGCAGGGCGGAGCCTCGGCAGGCAAAAAGTGACTAGACTGGCTCCTAGCTGGGCAGGACAGTGAGGCGGACACTCACAAGGAAAGCCCCAACCCCCACCCCAGACAGAGAATCTGAGGGAAAAAAAGGGGTTTTCTTACGAGTTAGGTTGCAGCAGAACTAAACATAGCAGCCTAGCAGCCCTGAATGAACAACAGAGCTCACAGCTCAGCACTTGAGCTCCTACAGACTGTCTCCTCAAGCAACTCCCTGACACCTCTATATCCATAAGACTGACATTCGGCAGACATCATCCTGGGACAAAGATAGCAGAAAAAGAAACTGGTAGCATCCCTCGCTGTTCCGCAGCCGCTACAGGTGCACCCCAGACAAGCAGGGCCTGGAGTGGACCTCAGCGGTCGTACAGCGAAGGGGCTAGACTGGTAGAAGGAAAACCAAGTAACAGAAATACTCCATCATCAACAATCTGGGTGTCCACACAGAGATCCAATCAAAAAGTCAGTAACTACACAGACGACAGGTGGATAAATCCACAAAGATGGGAAGAAACCAGCCCAAAAAGGAGGAAAACACCTGAAACCAGAACACCTCGCCACCTAGAAAGGACCAAAACTCCTCACCAGCAAGGGAACAAAGCTGGACGGAGAATGACTGTGACGAAATGACGGAATTAGACTTCAGAATGTGGATAATGAGAAACTTTTGTGAGCTAAAAGAACATGTTTTAAATAAACGTAAAGAAACTAAGAACCTTGAAAAAAGATTTGAAAAAACATTTGAGGAAATGATAACAAGAACGGATACCTTAGAGAGGAATATGAATGAACTAAAGGAGCTGAAAAACACAATACGAGAACTTCGCGAAACATGCACAAGTTTCAATAGCCGAATTGACCAAGCAGAAGAAAGAATATCAGAAGTTGAGGATCAACTCAATGAAATAAAACGAGAAACCAAGATCAGAGAAAAAAGCGCAAAAAGGAATGAACAAAGTCTCCAAGAAATGTGGGACTATGTGAAGAGACCTAACCTACGTTTTGATAGGCGTACCAGAATGTGATGAAGAGAATGAATCCAAGCTGGAAAATACTCTGCAGGACATTATCCAGGAAAATTTCCCCCACCTAGCAAGACAGGCCAACACTCAAATGCAGGAAATACAGAGAACACCACAGAGATATTCCGCAAGAAGAGCAACCCCAAGGCACATAATTGTCAGATTCAACAAGGTTGAAATAAAGGAGAAAATACTAAGGGCAGCCAGAGAGAAAGGTCGGGTCACCCACAAAGGGAAGCCCATCAGACTCACAGCAGATCTCTCGGCAGAAACTCTACAAGCCAGAAGGGAGTGGGGGCCAATATTCAACATCCTTAAAGAAAAGAACTTTCAACCCAGAATTTCATATCCAGCCAAACTGAGCTTCAGAAGTGAAAGAAAAATAAAATCCTTTGCGAACAAGCAAGCACTCAGAGATTTTGTCACCACCAGCCCTGCTTTACAAGAGCTCCTGAAAGAGGCACTACACATAGAAAGGAACAACCAGTACCAGCCATTCCAAAATCACACTAAATGCTAAAGAGCATCAACATAATGAAAAATCTACAACAACTAACGGGAAAAACAGCCAGCTAGCATCAAAATGGCAGTGTCAAATTCACAGATAACAATATTAACCCTAAATGTAAATGGACTAAATGCACCAATCAAAAGACACAGACTGGCAAATTGGATAAAAATCCAAAACCCAGCAGTGTGCTGTATCCAGGAAACCCATCTCACATGCAAGGATACACAAAGGCTCAAAATAAAGGGGTGGAGGAAGATTTACCAAGCAAATGGAGAGCAAAAGAAAGCAGGAGTTGCAATCCTCATCTCTGATAAAATAGACTTTAAAGCAACAAAGCTAAAAAGAGACAAAGAAGGCCATTACATAATGGTAAAAGGATCAATACAACAAGAAGAGCTAACGATTCTAAACATATATGGACCCAATACAGGAGCACCCAGATACATAAGGCAAGTTCTTAACGACTTACAAAGAGACAGACTCCAACACAATAATAGTGGGAGACTTTAACACTCCACTGTCAATATTAGACACATCAACCAGACAGAAAATCAACAAGGATATCCAGGGCTTGAACTCAGACCTGGAGCAAGCAAACCTGATAGACATTTACAGAACTCTCCACCCCAAATCCACAGAATATACATTCTTCTCAGCACCACATCATACCTACTCTAAAATCGACCACATAATTGGAAGTAAAGCACTGCTCAGCAAATGCAAAACAACTGAAATCATACCAAACAGCCTCTCAGACCATAGTGCAATCAAGTTAGAACTCAGAATTCAGAAACCAACCCAGAACTGCACAGCTTCATGGAAACTGAACAACTGGCTCCTGAATGTTGACTGGGTAAACAATGAAATGAAGGCAGAAATAAAGAAGTTCTTCGAAACCAATGAGAATGAAGACACAACATGCCAGAATCTCTGGGACACATTTAAAGCAGTCTCTAGAGGAAAGTATATAGCAATAAGTGCCCATATGAGAAGAATGGAGAGATCCAAAATTGACACTCTATCGTCAAAATTGAAAGAGCTAGAGGAGCAAGATCAAAAAAAACTCAAAACCTAGCAGAAGACAAGAAATAACTAAGATCAGAGCTGAACTGAAGGAGATTGAGACACGAAAAACCCTTCAAAAAATCAATAAATCCAAGAGCTGGTTTTGTGAAAAGATCAACAAAATAGACAGACCACTAGCCAGATTGACTAAAAATAAAAGAGAGAACAACCAAATAGATGCAATAAAAAATGATAAAGGGGAAATCACCACAGATTCCACAGAAATTCAAACCATCATCAGAGAATATTACAAACAACTCTATGCACATAAACTAGTAAACCTGGAAGAAATGGATAAATTCCTGGACTCCTGTGTCCTCCCAAGCCTAAACCAGGAGGAAGCTGAAACTATGAATAGACCAATAACAAGGGCAGAAGTCGAGGCAGCAATTAAGAGCCTACCACACAAAAAAAGCCCAGGTCCAGAAGGGTTCACAGCCGAATTCTACC